CCTTGATGGCCACCGTCGTAAGATCTGCACATGTTGCGGCCATTTCTCCTTACCCTCTGGTGTGCTGCGGTCAGCTCAATAATGCCGAATTTTGGCCTCCATTGATCTGTCACCCTGTCATCCTTGATTTCATCAGGTCAGAAAGTTTACCACCCTCTGGTTAGCTGACTGGAGATGCACCCGGGTTTCTGTCGTCGCCGAGTCTCTAAATCAAACGGTATGTGAATACAATCACGCACTTTTCTCGCGTTTACCCACTCGCGAGTAAGATGATGTCCAACTTGTCCATCACACATATTTGCTGCCTCGGTTTCAAGCCCCGCCTCAGCTCAGCCACCGAACCACCGGACCTTTTAAACCATGTTTACCTTTCATATTTCTGCAAAGCGTTCGTTCGTCTCCCAAATCTCTGTGTCTCCGTCAGTCGTCATAACAGGTTTCTGTTCAGAAGTGGTAGTAGGAGTAGAAATTACGGGCGTTAAAAAGGCATTTGCTCTACGGTACTTACCGTGCAGCACTTAAGAATGCGGTAGTCCTCGGTAGTTCTAGTCTGTAAGTTCGTGCTAGCGCATAACTCACTCTCACCGTCAACCCGTGGTCCTCATTGGGGTGGCTTCCTGACTACTGGGGCCATGGCCATACTAGACGACAGTCAACCCATTTCAAGTCCTTTTACATAACAGCAATTATAAACTGTGATCGGAGAACGTCGCGTCCTCATTCTCACTGAGCAAATAGATATATCATCTCAACGATTGCGGTATGTATTTCTGAATGAGGTATGTATATTTGGTATCGGACCGAAAGACTAGGCTTCACACCAAACGCCGAAGGGTTTCGCCTAAGGGTTTCACCTCTCGTGTTATGTACGGAAGATCCTTAACACACTCGTCATCCTCAGTCCACTCATCAGGCTGCCGAGCCTCTAACGGGATATCCCCAACGTACAGATCTTCGTATCTCTCTGCAACATCAGACAGAAGCTTTCTGAGTATCCTCCACGCTCGGTATGCGGAGCAGGAATTCTCAGTCATACACCAAAGATACGCCATTGCCTTGCGTAAATAGTCAACCACCTCGGCGCTTTCGGTAGGGAAATGTCGACAGTCAAGTGAGAGTTCTAGCAGCAACACCGCAGCAGCCTGTGCTAGGTAATGAAGAAGCGCCCAGCAAGGGAGTAGTTGATTTGCCTCGTGCACACTTGGATTGTCCGGCATCACGGCCAACATGGACATGGCGGCATGGACGCATGCTCGAGCGGAGCTGCGATTGAACTCCTGAGAACGCACAGATTCGTTTTCGATGACAATCTCACATAGGCAATGTCTATGCAGTATCATCTGAACGCTGTGATAGTACATCGCGAGTTCAATCTTGGCCCTGGGGTCCGATTCTATCGGAGCCTTGCCTTGGATGGAAAGATCATCAGGGAGGTTCTCAACCCAATATCGAACCTCGGTTTGCAGTTCGCCAATTTTCCGCTGAATCTCCGCCCACGTTAACTCCGAGCTTCCAGAATAAAGTTCCGTTGCGATCTTGTCACTGAGCCGACACAGACGAAGTCTTTGAGGGAAGTATGACACTGGCGAACCGCGGCCCACTGTAGCGAAATTTTTCCAAGGAATTGCACCGCCTGTCATTCCTTGTGGTATGTCTCTATTTTTGTTCAAGAAATCCAACCAGAAATTCCGGAAACTTGACGAAGATTCAGAACTGCTTAGCCTTACAGAAGGCGTGATGCTGGGATCATCGAGATTGCGGAAAGAATCCATTGGTATGGTCGCATCTGACAATGAGATGGACTTTGGACGTCCGGTCACTTCGGCGATGAGGACTTCGAGACTGTACAAAGAGTACCAGGTACGTGCCCGCCTGTCTTTCTCATCATCTTCGGTGTTAGGATCAACTACTCTGAGATGCATTCCCAGCGCGGTGGCATGGCGTGTAGCCTGTCCGAGGGTGTTCCATGACCTAATACCTTAGTCTGCGACGCTTGAACACGAATGGGTCTAGACTCACCTTGCTATTGAACCATTGAGGAACAGATAAAAAGCAACAATTCCCAAGGCTTGGACTCGTTCAATATCCGGATGATCGAGCATAATCCTGTGATCGAGCCCCAGACGCCTCGCTCTGGCATAGTAGACGAGATGAGAGTCCGAGCGATGGAGGTAGTCCAGCTTTGAGATTTGCAACCACTTTGAGCCAATTGCCCACACGATGTTGGCGAGCGCAAGCCAGCGGCGCTGACTCCATTGGAGGCGTTCATCCTGATGTGGAAAGGTATGAAGCGTCTTCAAGAAATCATCTCGGCCTACGAAATGGAAGGCCCCTTGTAAAGCATGGAAGTATGATTCGGATAGTATTGCCGCAGTCTCAAGAGGTGGCCGATCAAGCTCATTGACATAATCCTCATCGACAGCTAACACGTTGTGGTCGTCCATAAAATAGTTACAGTCCTGCGTCGCGGAGAGAGAGAGACCGACTTTCGGAAGTACGGCATACTCTGCTCCTTGTGGAGGGTTGGATATATGCTCCCGTGCCCGCTGGATCCAGGTGATCTCTGACATTTTGCCTATGAATCCAGATGCACCTTTCCCCAAGTCTAGGTTCACGACCCTGCTCAGCTCATCTTGCCTACCAGGGGATCCAACCATTGACGACACGTTTTCCTCCTCGAAGGTATGATCTTTGCGGGTCTCCTCGAAATCTATAGTCGTACCGTCCGTGCCAGCGCTTCGTTGAACCGTGTCTCTCTTCAGGCTAGAGCTACTTTGCGCTCCACTGCTCGAGCTCCCAAGGCTTTCATGCTTTTGCTCATGTGACGAGTACTAGTTCTTGGGTGTTAGCTGTCGGCTTCGCTACTGAAGAGAGCGCCGGAGCAGACCTTTGAGAGAATCTCAATAATGTCGTCGTGCTCGGACGGTTGGAAGTTTGGACTTGTCGCAAGCGACCGGAGTGCGCTCAACAGTTGTTGATTTTCGCCTTCTAACACATCAATGCGCTCGAGGCTCTCGGCCAGATCTCTATGAAAAGTCAGATCTCCGAATATGTCTCAGCGTGTTGGGTGACACAAGCTTCTTATTTCTTTCTCGCTTACGGTCTCCATAGGAGCACACAGCATCATCTTTCACGCACTTGACGCAACGATCCCCTCCCGTGCACTTAGTGCGCATCAACCGGCACCGATCACAAGCATGAGAAATGCGAGACTTGGAGGACAGCGAAAGAGAACCCAGAGATAGTTGAGGCAATACCGGCCCTTGCAGTCTTCTTTCCTCATGACTTGAGCTTGGAGGTCGATGACCAAGCTCAGGTAAATGCGACGCCGGCATGCTCTTATGGACTCGCTCAATATATT